CAGTTATTTCTCAGGCCTTTGCTCCGTTTTCTGCTTGTACCTGGAAAGATCTCACCACCTTATGCCAGTTTTCACGGCAATAGAAAATTAACTTGGCATCTCCATAAAGCGTGTCAGCATTTGGGAAGCGTTAAGTTAACTTCCTGGTAGCTTTGGTTCAAATAAATCACATTTGAGCAGCGGAAACGGCTCACTGTATGCGTTTTACTTCAGACTGAACACCAAGCAACTTAAAAAAAAAAAATTAAGGATAATTTTTCTTTTTTAATTACTGGAAAAAAGAGGATAATTGAGCAACAGCTCAGCCCCTTTTCACCTTAGCTAGGGGAAAATGCTTTTGACGAGATGTCTGGTTCAGAAGTGGCTTTACACAAAGAGTATGACCGTTGAGGTGGTTCTGGAAAAACTGACTCCAGGCAAAGTCCTCTCCTAGTTTATCTTCCACAAACTCTGAATTTGGCTTCACGTCACAATCCTCACAAGGCTACAGTTATCCTGTTGCCTGTGCATGTTTTCCTTCCTGTGCATGTTCTTGTAGACAGCCCTCTGAATACCCAGGTTCTTTAGCATTAATCTTTGGTGGCGTACCCTTCCTGTGAAACATTTCATTGACTGTCCGCTAAAAAAAAACAACTGTCAAGTCAGCGGTCTCGTGTCGACCATAACGCATTTCTGGATTGAATCTTTGTTGGCATTGCGCAATAAAAATTGATTTTTTTTTTTTTTTTTAAAAACACTGAAAATATCACGTTGGACAAATGATGAATGAGCGAATGTGCCTTTCACTTTCTTTTAACTAAATTGTCACTTTTTGTGATGATTCTTTAGACGCAACTGTAAGGTCTTCTTTCTTGGAGGATGTTTCAGATTTCCACAAATATGCTGAACTGACGCTCTGCGGTCATATTAATATGTAATTAACATGCATCATGTAATTAACAGGCCCTAGGTTCCATGACACGAGGTTTCCAGGAGAGTTTGCCACTCATGGAGGATCTCACCCTGGTTTTCCATGTGGGGAATATGAGGAACCCGCATATGGAGGCTACATGTCAGGACCAGCTTTCCCTGACAGCAGCATGGCTCCAGCTCCGTATGCAAACAGTATCGGTCCTGGACAAGATGGATATGGAAGAAGTGAACCGATGGTTGAAAGCTCAAACACAGCATATACCAATGAGTACCAGGAAAACTCAGTGGACAGACCGATAAGCAAGCCAGTGGACCGACCCGGATTATTGGGAGCTGCTCCACAGAGTAGCAACATGCCTGCGGTGCTGAAACACTTGGTGCGAATCTTCAGTTGTTTTCCTTAAATCAGACTAGATGGATGCGCTTTGACTTTTTTTTTTTTTTTTGTCTTCAGGAATCTTTCCAAATAGAGAATGAGAACGATGCACAGCTTGTTTTGAAAGTGACACAAAGGCTAACAGATGTACTGATGGAGTACAGGCTGAGGACCATTCCTGCGGTACGGAGCCCATTAATCTTATGCTTTGATGAACCTTTAAGCTGAATTTTAACTTGGCTACATTCTTCTGTTGCTTTTACCTCCACAGGCATCGACTTTTTGCAACCCGTCCTTGAACTTTTCTAACACTCCACCAAGGTTGCAAAATGACCGATATTCAAGTAATCACTCTGGTACAGAACAACAGCATTGCTAGGCAGACTTGATTATAAATGGAGATTCATAGAACGTCACAGCTTTAATTTACATTCACCTCAATCTGTTTGGATTATATTTTGTAGGTTCATCCAGATATCCTGACCCTCCGCAGAAATACTTCAACTGATTGTCAGAAGATGGCGCCTCACTCCTCTTCTCCGTCTCTCACCGATGCAAAAGTCCAGTTTTTTTCCCCGTGTATATTGATTTTGGGTAGCTTATTTTTTCCTCCATTCTTCTTTCCACTTCCTCAGAGCAAGGGAAGTTTTACATAACAGAATGTTTAAGTTGATTTATATCACCATTGTGTTTTTTCAGATGTAATAAAGAACTTGATGTAACTGCAATAATTCACAGGTAGCATTTAATCCCACGCTTTAGTCTCTTATCAAGTGACATTTCCTCTCCGTCTGTCAAATGCCTTAGCATTATGTTGTACACAACCCCCATAGCTGTTTGTTCACACAGCTGTGGGTTACTTCCTCTTCTTCCTTTCATGTGGCTGTTTTTCACCATTGTTTTTGGTTTATCTAACTTATCTCTCAAGCGGATCCACATTGTGTTGAAACTTAGTTATCCATTCTCTTTAACACTGAAAAAAATCATTGAACCTAAACAAACTGATCTTTCCTCAAAAGCCATATAAAAAATTTATTTAGCCATGCAGGATAAAGGTAGACAAAAATATCGAACATGTTTGTACACAAATCCAAGGCATCTTCTTTTCATCGCAGTAGTATCCAACACTTGGGAATGTCTTCCATTAATTATTAGAACATTACTGCAGACTGTGTAGTATATATGAAGAGAACGATAACATAGGGAGATCTTGAAATAAAATCCTTGGAGCAAACTAGAAACCTCTGCAGTCAAGCGCAGCTGAAGCCGATGGTCAGGCAAAACATTCCTCAGGTGTTCATCAAAATTTTCTTCATTTGCTTCTCATTTATGGGGGTGAGAATCACTTTTGATCCCAGGAACTCTTCGCCGTGCAACCTCTGAGCCTGCGTGACCTGCTGTTCGGATTCAAACTTGACCACAGCCTCACCCGAGCCATAGCCCTCACTGTCATGTATTAAAATTATATCATCCAAACTCAGACTGAATTTACAGAACAGGCTCCTGATTTGACTTTTCTTGACAGTTGCAGGCATGTTCCTAATAAAAATGTACCGCTGACCCGTCTCGTTTAGACTTTCCCTCTGTGGCGCGTTTGTCTGCACTGGCTCCGACTTCCTGAAGCTGCGTTGTAACCTTGGATCAGTCCTTTGGTTTCTGGGGTGGTTTTTGGCGATTATTTTCCACATGAGCTCCTTGGAGATTGATTTAACCTCAATGGCACCAGAGCCACCATGGCAGCCAGAGAGATTAATGGCGTAGTCAAAGTCCTCGGTACAGTTAAAACTCAGAAAAGCTGTGTCAGTGATATTGCTTGTTTCGTCAAGCAGATGAAGCACATTTTTGTGCGGTAGGTTTGGGCATCTGAACAGCTCTTTTATGTCAGTCTTGGTCATGTTTTTTGGCAGGTTTCTGACCATGACCGTGTACTCCGAGGGTCTTGATGAAGCATTGGGTTCCGCATCGAGTTTTGGGTTTTTTAATGGTTTAAACTGAACTTGATCAGATGTCCTCTTAAGGGAAGTAACAGATCTTCTCTCGTAGTGTGCCTTTTCTGTTGGAGATCTTTCATGTTTCCACTTTGACCTGTCATCAAAAGCCTTACTACATTCCTGAAGAGCTCTCAGCCACAGTTTTTCATCTGCTCCACGTACTTCCACATGAACGGAGCCCAGCAACTGTTGGTTGAAGCCAAGAGCATCAGATGCATTTTGCATATCTGCAAACTTCACAAGGCAGCCACGACTGATTCCCAGTTCGACGTTGACTATAACGTCTTCTACACGCAATCCTTTGAAGAACTTGCAAATGTCTTCTTTAGTAATTGAAGCTGGCAGCCCAAATAGCCGGGCGTAGCCTGGCCTCAAGTCCAATGTATGTTCTGGATTTCTGACCGCTTCAGAGGAAGTTGTGCTGTCAACGTGGGGAAACTCAAACATTGGCACCATGGTTTGAGTTGATTGGAGTCTTTTAAGGACAGTACAAACCCCAAGTAAAAAAGAATCGGCATCTAATGGTTGTGCATTCGAAGCCGGCATGTTTGTTGGACTCAGCTGAAAATGTTGTGCATTAGAAGCTGGCAGATCAGCAGGATCAGGATCAAGTGGAAATGCAGCTGAAGATGAAATTGAAGTACTATCACCATGCAGCCTAGATTTGGGCTTCACCTTTATCTTATTAACATCATGCAACCTAGATTTGGGCTTCATTGTCATGTTAGCATGTGGCCTGGATTTCTGCTTCATTGTAGTCATGTTGTCTTCATGTAATCTGGATTTGGGCTTCAATATATTAATGTCACGAGGTCCAGATTTGGGCTTCACCTTAGCCATGTAAACATCATGCGAGCTGGATTTGGACTTGACATCGCCATTTTTATCCTTATGTCGCCTTGACATTTCATTTTCAGCTGAACGTGGATGGGGTTTTCTTACGGTGAGCGAAGTTTTCTTGCCATTTAAGGACTCCTCGAGTTTCCACTCTATCTCTTCCATGCTGCTGATGTGCAGGGTCACCATGGAGCCTTTGAGTAAATTCCCACTGCGCAGCAAGGCAGCCTGTGCATCACTTACAGTGGTAAATGAAATGAAAGCCTCGCCGAGATGTCCTCCCATAATGTAAACTCCTCCATCAGGTATGTCCAGGGACTGAAAGAAGGTCCGTATATCTTCAGTGCCTGCCTTCACGTCCAGGCCTTCCAGTCTGAGGATCGTACTCATTCTTTCCGTCCTTTGTCCCTGCAGGCTGGGTGTTGTCTGTAAATTTAGAAGGCTCTGGTGAAAAAGTTGAGAACACAAGTGTTATTTTTGAAGCATTAACATGAGGGAAAGACGCCACAGGAAACACAAAGTTAAGGGCGGGAATATCTAGGAGAGAGAGAAAAAAATAGTTACACAACCATGACGTGTATATTAATACTTACATAGCTTGCCTACGTGTCCTAGGATTTTAAAGGGTTTAAGAGATGAAATCCAGTTTCAACTTATCCATAACAACTTTGTGAGCCCTGCCAGCTCTTCTTCGCTCATCTCTCCCTCGGACTGATCATCAGCCCGGGGGTTTCCTCCCTTTTATTTACTCTGAGGTGCCGTGTAACCCATCACTGCCTTCTAGCGGATGGAGTGTGAACTACACTAAATACAGATTACAATATCATGAAAAAGTTAAACTAATATATGTAGATTCATCACACACAAAGTGAAATATTTCAAACCCTTGTATCTTGTAAGTTTGATGATTATGGCTTAAAAAGTACCCACAATTTAATGTTTCAGAATTTATAATGTTACACAAGATCACTGTAAAATGGTATTTTAAACAGAAATGCCTGAAAAGTATATATTAATTTCCATTTCCATGCACAAAATAGTTGATGAAACCTCCTTTTGCATGAATTATCCATAATTCATGCAAATGAATGCATATGACAATTTGCAATTGATTTGTTTTAAGGGCCTGGAGCCAGAGCCTTAGGGCACAGGTGTCAAACTCAAGGCGTGGGGGGCAAATCCAGCCCACCATAGCCTTTATGACACTACTCTATAGGGACCACATAAAAATAACTTTCAAAAAACAGCTGTGTGCTTGAATGTTATTTTATCAATCAAATCAAACCAGTTTTTATATGTATTCTGCTAAATTACATAAATGTGAAAATATGTTCAATATTATTTAACTTTAAGAAGTATTCCTCAAATGCAGAGACAGCTATGTATCAGGCTGATGCAACCGTAAAACAGGTTTTGTCAATACATTCATGCATACATACATATATTCATGGTTGAAGATGAGCTTGACACCCCTGCCCTAGGATGTTGTACACTGGCATAACACAACCTGTGAAAGCCTAATAAAGTGTGTCGAACTCAAGCACCCAGATACTTTATTGCTTGTTAAGTTTAGCAGGTACAGGACACAAAAAAAAAAAGCTGATTCCCTAAAGCTGATGCTGCGAGAACTTTAGGTGCACTAAAATGGTTGTAAATTCCAGTCATCCAAAAAAAAAAAAAAAAAAAAAAAACCCCCCATCTGGGGAAAAGGATACCCACAATCCATAGACCTTGTCTATGTGACCAGCAATTTTGAGAATAATGCAAATTAATTTGCTCAACCCTGGTGACCTCAGGTTGACCTCTCTCCCGTCTTGAAGCTGAGCCTCTAACTGTTACAAAACTCTGCGGTCTTTCACAATCCGTTCCCTTTTCTGGGGAAATAGCCTAGAGTATTTCCTCATCTCGTTCCTTGCAGCAGAATAACGCATGAAGTACTGTAAGATGTCCTGATAAATTACTGTGTCAACTCTGGAACAACTTCTGCCCTCTTCACTCAGACTCTAGGGCCCTAAAGAGGTTCTGCAGTAAAGGTGCCAGGGCGCCAAACAGGCCAAGACCACCCCTGCTTGTAAATCCTATATTTGTTGCTGCTGCATGTTTTTCCTACTACATCTTTTCCTTCCACAGAACTTTCTATGCAATACATTTTTCACATTCTAATTTTCTGACACTGAATTGTGTGGTTTTCATCATCAGTGAGCCATAATCACCAGAATTACAAAAAAAAAAGGATTTAACTCTGTATCATGAATCTATACGAGTTTCACTATCTGAAATATTGACAAAAATATTTAATTTGAACAATATTCTAATTTTTTAATTACTTGTATTTTATAACACTAAGTATTACCCTATTATTACTAACCATAAGTATTGTCTCACTCATGGGTTATATACAGTGTTGGACATTGATATTGATATGCTGCGGATTTTAAAAATGTTCTCCTTACAAAAAAGAGGTCTGTAATTTTCATTGTAGGTACAACTCAACTGTAGTCAGAATCTTTACAAAAAAATCACATTGTATGATTTCTAAATAAATAATTAGCTTTTAAAAAAAATTTTTTTTTACATGAAATAAGTATTTGATACAATAGAAAAATAGAACAATGTTTTGTACAGAAACTTTTTACATTTACAAGGTTAACAACCCTGTTGTTTACCCTGGTCAACAGCTATTTTCTGTAGTTCTTCAACAACCAGGTCCGACACATTGCAGCAGGGATTTTGGTTCACTTTTAAATCTAAAAAAGAAAATTTCACAATACATGGCCATCCATCTTCATCCTGCAATAGTAACTTTTGAGATTGTGGGCCCATCTCTCTTCAGGTCACTGATCAGGTCCTCCTGTGTACTTCTGGGTTGATTCCTCACCTTTTTCACAATCCTTGATACGCCAAGATCTTGCAAGAAGTCTCAGTCCGATGGAGATTTCCTAATAATTTCCTTCTTACCAAGCGGTTTGCTTTCGGTGTAGCCCACCCCAGTCTTTGACACCAATTTTGTCCCTGGTGTCAGGCCCAGGTGTCTATTATACAAGTAAGGAGTACAAACAGGTGCAATTAATAGAGGTGATGAGTGGAGGACAGCAGGGCAGGTGATCAAATACTGATTTCATGCAATACAATTGAAATTAATTATTTGAAAATTACACAATGTGATTTTCTGGACTTTTCAAATCCTGTCTCTTACAATTGAGGTTTGTAATATTTACAAACCTCTCCAGTCTTTGTAAGGAAATCGGCGTTGTATTAAATACTTATTTTCCCCGAACTATTCAGAAATCTACTTAGTTGTCTTGATTTTGTAAGGTATCAAATTAAGCTTGAAGATTCTTCTTATGAATTGTTTTCATTAATTCTCAAACTCACAACCTTAATAATTCATGTTCTTCTGTCTTTGTGCTTTTGCATAATCACTCTATAAAAGGAAATGAACGATGCATAGCTGTATTTCCGGCAGAAAGTCCCTATGACTCGTGACCTAAAAAAAGACTGAATATTTTTCACTAAAATAGTCATTTTACTTCCTTGCATCTTAGAATTATTCAAATAGTTTTTCAGCTGAGTTTGTTTTGATAAGCTTCCAATAAAAAGGATTTATTCTAAATGTATTTTTCACCGTTCAACTTAGATAACGGACCCCAATTATTGCTTGAGAATGCATGTAATCCTTACAAACCAAACAAGCCGAGTCTAATCTGAAAGAATTATTTATTACAAAATTGTAAGATTACAAAATTATGTTATGCGTTAGCGCTGAGAGCACAATAAGAAGAGAAATACATTTTTCACAACTTCCTCTTTTAGTCTTGAAACTGAGTAGTCTAAAACTTTCGCGTCAATCCAAATCTTATTTTTATAATCTTACCAAAGGGTTTTGGAAAAACTTTTGGTCTGTCACTATTTCCGGAATATTCAATAGCAGATATTTTCTTGATTGAGCACCAGGTTTCTGCTTACCTTATTTCGGAGTGTGAGAGCCCATAAAAAATGACTCCAGATTGCAGCAATTCAACCACTAATCATCTGGAAGTCGGTATGTAACAAAACGGTAAAAATCATCCCACATCACCGTTCTCTTCATGTGAACCTTTGAAGAAACGTCTTCCGGTCTTTGTTGTTTAAAATACTTTCTCGTGCAATGCTGCTGTTTTATCCTCTTAAACACTATCCACACCTCATTATAATTATAAACTCCCGCTCTTTTAAAAAAAAAATCACCCTAACTCATTATTTTAAAAGCTAGAAGTCCGTCGAAGTTGTTGAGGAAACGTTTGGGAACCGACAGAGCTGCCGGATGCTCACTGTTCGGTGTGCTGAGCCAAATGATTCGGATCTCTATAAAGACCCTGAAGTCCCATCACCAGCAGAGTGAAGGATTGTGGGTAAAAAGGAGGACCGTTGTTTACCATGGCGACGGGAACGCTACTGTTTATTAGCAGACACAGAGTTCTCCCATATTTTTCACTTTTGTTATATATATATCTAATTGACTGCCAGCAGTTTATCATTCCGTTTAAAGCGCCTTCAGATTGCGGCGTAGACGAATTCTTCGACATATCAAGTTTGTCGTGCTCCAGATGTGGTTCAAATCAGCGCAAGAGCTCTACAGGTCGGTTTTTATCATCGTAATACACATCTTAAGCTGATTTCGGGCTGTGATACCAACCTACAATAAGAAATATTTTACTATTTATACTTGAATGTAGAGTAATTTGAAATGTATGTTAGCGTGTGTCATCTAATAATCAGAGAGCCACTTATGTGAAGCTAAGTGCTGTTAGCTTCCTATTGTTTCATGTTTTGAGGGGAAGTAAAACATCGAATAAATGTTTTAATACTATTAAGGGTAAATATTTTAACAGCAGACGCAGCAGTATCTGCCTGTGTTAGACAATGTGTAAAGGTTTATAGTGCTATGTCATTGGAATAAAATTAATAGTTTTTTGGGTTTTTTTAAGTTTTGCATATGCTTTTCATTTTAATCTTATTTGTCCGTCCATATTTACTAAAGGTTGAAAGATTTTAGGTTCCAAGGATCTTGATGATGATTCATGTAATTCTACAATTAGTTACTGTAAATTTTATTTTTGTTTGTTTGCATGATATAAGAGGAAGGTCTTAAGTGGGGGGCTTTGGTGTATCTTTACAAAAAATATTTAAAAAGTGAACACAGTTAATTTGCTCCGAAAATGAACTGTGAATGAATGAGTCATCTTATTGAATCTGTTGGACATATACAGTGCACTTTCAAGGTTTTCCCCTGTCTGTTCATCTGTTCCATTTAGCTGCACACCTGAGTCAACACACACACACACACACACACACACACACACGTTTGTATCACATTCCTGCAAACTCTCATGTCCAGAGGCTGGCCTGCTCCAAGTATTAACATGTTGCCAGTTAGGCTGCAGTGTGTGTTTAAGTCCAGCCTATTGTTTAGAGCATACATGCCCAAGAAGAAAAATATCTGTTGAACTCTGATTACTTTGTTCTTCCTATTAGCATTGTATGAAAGCATCCATCGCTGTACAACTTTATATGTGGTCAAAAATAAATTAGACCTTGGCTTCTGACATCTAAAGATTGACTCCAGTTCCTTTCCTAGGGCTGCCAATAAAAGAAAAAAAGTGATAAAGTTAATAATCTTAAAGCAGTTTCAGGCCATAAGGGTCTCTCTGGTGTGTTCTGGAGGAGAGTATTTGGTCAAACTGGGTCAGTTTTTCACTGATATGCACTTTTTTTTCTACAAGTGCTGGAAGAAAAGAGTTAAAAACTCTTATACTGCCAAAAGAAGTGAGATCATTCCTCACTTCCACGCATAAAATTACAACACTGAGTAAATGAATAGGCTGGAAGGCTTAGAGGAAAAAAGCATGTATGATTTTTGATTGCAAATATTAAATTTATCTTGTTTTCTTTTCCAGACATGTGCCTGCATTAAATAAAAGCTATGATCATGATGACTATAATGAAAGTGATAAATGATTCCTTAGTTATACAATCACAGGTGCCAATTATTGAGAAGATGCAGTTAAATGAGTTGTGATTTTGATGATACTCTTGAAAACAATATAAAAATGGTGCGAGTGTGTAATCACTAATGTAACAGGGTGTATAATAATCTGCTGCTGAGACATCAAGTGCTGAAACAGGGTGGTGCTCCTCTTAGCTAAGAGAAGGTAACTGTGAAGGAGGCTTATGGGAAAAAGAGGAACTGTCAGCAGATGGTCTCTGGTTCAAGAGATAACAAGCAAAGGGAAAGTGACTCATCATTTTGTCATTTTTCAGAATGGCCGTCATGGCTACAGATGAACTTGACTGACGTTTCCCCCACCCCCAACTCTGCAATACGCATTTCAAAATATAACAATGCATACATTTTTAACAGATGTTTAAGTTGTGCTGTACTCCTACTATCTTGTTAATTATTCTGCACTGATCCTACTTTTTTTTATTAATGTTAAATGTATGGTTTTTGATTTTAGTAAATATTGCGTCAGTTGCCATAAATTTCTATTTTCCTCGTTCCTTTTGTTCTCATCTGTTCTTTCATCACTCGGTCAAGCCTTTTGCTCTCTCAAGTTTTCTTCCTCCAAAGAGATGCAGGAACAACTCATCTCAATGACATCTTTTATTCATCTTTTCTTTTTCTTTTCTTTTGATGAATCTCATCTGCAGCATGTGAAAGCAACACGAGTGGTCACATGACTAGGCTGGAAACCTACAAACAGAAGAAATATTAGTTACAGATAACACTGAGTTCATTTTAACTTTAGTTTCTCAAGTAGTGATTCCATAATTTACTTGTAAGTTGACAGTGAATGAATGAATAAGCTATATTCCAAACACATGACAAACTTTGCATCAAACAATAAATCTGTTTTGGTCTTCCGAATCCAATCTGAATCATGTAAGCTGTGATTAATGTCCATTTCCTACCTGTGCTGTCTTTGAGGAAGCTTTCAGTTGAGGTTCTTTGTCTGAAGAGAGGTCATTGTGTGAGCACAGGTGTGCCAGGTTACCTTATAGACTTGGCTGCTGAGCTTGAGCAGTGGAAGGGATGGGAGCGCTTGATTCTTTGTGAGGTGTGTGCCAGTTGGGTGGAGATGGTGAATACATTCAAAAGTGTAGGATGTGCGGATTTAACTTGACACTCTGACCTTTGGCATTTTTAGCGGTGTCATTTGTGAACATCTGGAATTTGGAATTAGCCAACAATTATTGCACACCAATCAGTTCTTTGCAATGGTAATATTGCACACACTGATATTGCCATTACCACTTAGTCGTAACATATTGTCATCTTCCTTTGTTTTGCAGGACTGAGCTGCATTTGCCAGACTGGCTACAGAACCTTAAATGTCTTCAATGATAAAATATCCATTTCTTGCGAGCAGTGTCCTACAGACAGGCCCGTATGTTCAATTTTTCTTTGATATCTTCTTGCTTCAGTGATATGAAAGTCCTGCAGCTGTGTCATAATACAGATTTATCATCTATTCTCAATAGAAGACTGACTTTTTGGTGACTTGCTGTGTTTATGTACAGGCGGTAACACAGGATGGATTTGGGTGTATTCGCTGTCCACGCAGCCTCAGTACTGACGGAAAATGTCAGTGCCAATCAGGCTATATCCTGGGTGAGTTATTTACTTTTTAGTTTGATTTGCAATAGTAATAGGAATAAAAAGGGAGTTGATTGTTATATGTTCTAAGGACAGGAGTTCATGTTTGTTATTCTAGTGGAAAGGGATATCAATGGAAATCCTTTGAATGATGCCAGATGTGAAGCGTGCAACAACAACAGCCCTGCTTTGTCTGTGTCAAACATCAACGGAGACAGGTAAATGACCTGATTTATCTAGTCTGGAGCACTTTAATGCACTTTAATACAGTGAATCCCACTGCATCTTTTGCCCTGCTGAATAAATCCCCCTGCTGGCAACATGCTGTCTCTAAAGGATCTCCAGTTTTTCTTAAAATGTCTCGTGAAAACTTTTGAGTATGTTTGACTTCAAAGTAATGAGGTGGAAAAGGAATATGCTGCAACACGACAAAAAATTCAAAATGTGCTTTTAAGGCTCTGTATAATAACCATTTAATCGTGGGATTTGCGTACCTCATGGCTAAATTATCTGTACATGTTCAAATTGTCTTTCAGGTGTGAGAGATGTACGTCTACCTTCACTAACACCTCCTGTGTGTGTCCGGCTCCTAATGTTCAAGTGAGTTCAGTCGTGTGTCTCTCTCTTTACATATTCAAACAACTCGTCTCGTGTTCAGCTGTCAGAAGGAAATGTGTCATTAGTTTGCTTTGCTTTTTTCCAGGAAGGAGGGTTGTGTTTCCCTTCAAGAATCCTTTCCACTAATCCGAATCCCAGTGTCAACTATGCTCAGTTGGTAGGAATCCTCGGCTCTTGGTTTCTCAGTTGTTGTTACATTTTGCACATTATTATCCACTCTGATTCGTTTTTGTCTTCTGTATTAGAAATTCAGCATTCAGTCGGCCTGGTTTGTGGAAAATCTCTACTCCTCCACAGCGGCATGCCTCGTAATGAAAAAACACACTTATATTTTTTTTTAACAAAGATTCAAACAATGACTGTGGAGATGAAGCATTAGCTCCTCTGCATAAACATCTGGTGTTCTCCTTGCAGACCTACTCCAACCTGACAGCCTGCCAGGCTCTTGGCAACATGTGTGTGTTGAACATGCACTCCTTCGCCAGTTCCTCTACTGATGCTTGTGGTCTTTTTAACACCGTTTACAGATCAAAAGCTGCTCTGAGCTCAGTTCAAGAAATTGCTTATTGGTAATCCTGTTTGATTTTTTTTTTTTTTTATGTTTCAGTTTTAGCATGTTCATAAATTTCAAACAGATTTTTTTTTTGAGTCTGAGCGCAGAGCAGACACCAGCAGCTTTGATTGTTTCTTCTCTAGGAGAGTTAATCTCCCGTGGCTTTTCTACGGAGACGAACCCGGGCTGGCTAGTCGCGTGCTTCAAACAGATCCTGTTCCCACCGTCTTCAGCTTCAGAGGAAGAAATCAGGCAAAACATGTTGACATTAAACAAGAAGAAAATAAAGGAAACGCATTAATAGCATGTCTTGTGCATACAGGTATTTTTAAAATATCTTTAAATATATATTTTTTTTCTTCAGAACACCAACATCCAGCTGCTTGCTGCTGTCTATAACGTCAGGGGGGAGTTCCTGAGGTGGGAGCAGGTCGGAGGAAGCAACCTGCAGGTAAGACTTTAAGTTGCTAGTGATCAAGACACTTAGGCTGCAGG